TGTGATGAACATGTTAGCAGCATTCCACATCAAAAATTCTGTTTTTATCATTTACCTACTCGAGGACGAGCAGGAATTAAGCTTGGGGATGCTGATATGTCTCCAACATATCTATAATTTTTGATTGTTCCATGTTGTTATATTATCATTTTTGGATGTTTTACAATCATTTTATAGTCATTTTATATCATTTTTTGGTACTAACCTATTGACATAGTGTCCAGTGCCAGTTCTTGTTTTCTGTTTGTTTTCTACATTGCAGGAAATCAATATCAAACAGAGTCCAAATGCAGCGAAACTTTTTGTGGATTTTTTTGGACTAGAAGACATCCAGTGGGTCGAAGAAGTACCGGAGAGGGAGTTCGAGGGGGGCACAAGACAGCAGGGCGCGCCTGGGCCCCCAGGCGCGCCTAGGTGGGTTGTGCCCACCTTGGTGGCCTCCCGCACCGCCTCTTTGCTCTATAAATACCCTAATATTCCAGAAACCCTAGGGGAGTCGACGAAAATCAACTCCAGCCGCCGCAAGTTCCAGAAACTCCAGATCCAATCTAGACACCATCGCAAAGGGGTTCATCATGTCCATTGGTGCCTCTCCAATGATGCGTGAGTAGTTATTTGTAGACCTACGGTTCCGTAGTTAGTAGCTAGATGGCTTCCTCTCTCTCTCTTGATTCTCAATACAATGGTCTCTTGGAGATCCATATGATGTAAGTCTTTTTGCGGTGTGTTTGTTGGGATCCGATGAATTTTGAGTTTATGATCAGATCTATGTTTTTATCCATGAAAGTTATTTGAGTCTTTTTTGATCTCTTATATGCATGATTGATTATAGCATCATATTGCTTCTCCGATATTTGAGTTTTGTTTGGCCAACTTGATCTATTTATCTTGTAATGGGAAGAGGTGCTTTATGATGGGTTCGATCTTACGGTGCTTGATCCCAGTGACAGAAGGTGAAATGACACGTATGTATCGTTGCTATTAAGTATAACAAGATGGGGTCTATTTCTACATAAATATATCTTGTCTACATCATGTCATCGTTCTTATTGCATTACTCTATTTTTCCATGAACTTAATACACTAGATGCATGCTGGATAGCAGTCGATGTATGGAGTAATAGTAGTAGATGCAGACAGAAGTCGGTCTACTAATCTTGGACGTGATGCCTATATAATGATCATTGCCTGGATATCATCATGATTATTTGAAGTTCTATCAATTGCCCAACAGTAATTGTTTTCCCACTGTTTGCTATTTTTCTCGAGAGAAGCCACTAGTGAAACCTACGGCCCCCCGGTCTCTTCTTATCATATTTGCCTTTGCGATCTATTTTCCTTTGCTTTTATTTTCAGTTCTACTAAACCAAAAATACAAAAATACCTTGCTGCATTTTATTTTATTTGCGATCTATTTATCCGATCTATTACAACATTATCCTGTCTCCTGGCCAATTTCTGGCGCCGTTACCCGAAAGGGATTGACAACGCCTTTAACACGTCGGGTTGCGAGTATTTGTTATTTGTGTGCAGAGGCTGTTTACGTTGTGTTGCATGGTTCTCCTACTGGTTCGATAACGTTGGTCTCATCATTAAGGAAAATACCTACCGTTGTTGTGCTGCATCATCCCTTCCTCTTTGAGGAAATAACGACGTAGTTCAAGCAAACATCATGATACTCCAAAGAACATCTTGACCTTAAACAATATGGAACCAACCAATAGGCTGGAATTTATCACTAAACGACCTTTACTCGGATCTTGTGCCGCAATTACATGTGCTTGACGAGCCTTCCGCCCATAGGAAATTACCGACACGATCCTCCAAACAAACAAGGCCACCAACCCTGGACCCGATGGCTTTGGGATGGGCTTCTATTGCACTGGTTGGCCCATCACCAAACCATCTTTTGAAAGATTGTTCACCCGCTTCTATGACCTCCAAATTGACACCACTTTACTAAAACACGCACTAATGGTCCTACTACCACAAAAAGATATGGCACAAACACTAGATGCCTCCCGCCCTATATCGCTGCAAAATTTCCCAATTGAAACAATCGACAAGGTTTTGAGGAACAGATTAAAGCCACTCATCCCTTTGTTCAAACCGGATATCTCTCTCGGAGAATTTTCTCTATGCCGCTAATCTACTCAACTGCTGCCATCATTCCAAAGCCCCATCGCTCATCATTAAATTGGACTTTTCGAAAGCTTGTGATTCCATGATTTACCATCCTTGCAAAAAAAATGGTTTCCCTGGAAAATGGTGCAACTCGATTAAAAACTTGTTGCATACAACCGGGGTCCTGCTAAATGGATGCCCTAGCTCATGGATTAACTGCAAACAAGGCCTATGTCAGGGAGATCATCTCTCCTATCTATTTATCATTATCTCTGACATCCTTAAAATGATTATTGATTGGGCATGAACATTGTTCAAAAAATCGTCCGATTC